TATCAAGATGGATAGTACAGACTATACGCCTTGCCTATGAGCTGGCAAAGAAACCTCTTCCGTCATCTGTCAAAGCCCATTCTGCCAGGGCTATTGCAGCCTCTACTGCTTTTCTCTGTGGTGTCCCTCTGCAGGATGTTTGTAAAGCCGCTACGTGGTCTACTCCATCCATGTTTGCATCCCACTACAGACTCGATCTACGAGCAAAGGAGGATGCGCGGTTTGGTCGGGCTGTCCTGTCTGCGGTGATGCCGTGATGTCGCGTCCCTCCACCTTTCAAAGGTAAGCTTGCTAGTCACCCATTAGTGTGATTTCACAGAGGCCACAAAGAAGAAAGAGAGGTTACTTACCTGTAACTTTGGTTCTTCGAGTGGTCCTCTGTGAATTCACAGGGCCCGCCCGTCCTCCCCACTTTCTGTCACGGCTGTCTCGCTTTTAGAGCAGCAGCGGAATTTGGGGAACTGAGCTAACTGTTAGGGCGGGTGGACCATGAGGTCCTAGGGGGCGGAGCTAAAAGTGTTAATTTAAGCTCTAGAATATTCTGAGGCCTCTGCGCAGGCGCAGATTTAACCCATTAGTGTGAATTCACAGAGGACCACTTGAAGAACAAAAGCTACAGATAAGTAACCTCTCTTTTTTGACCGTGGTTTTTTCCCCTTCACATATAAGAAGTGGTAAAATGAAGGAGGAATATGGGTAAAATAGAGTAAATGTGATGATGTTCTCTCTCTCCCCCCCCATAGCAAAGAACTTGCATTCTAATCCTGAGCTACTGCTGCTCTTTGTCAAAGTGAGAGTGGGCCTGCAAGCAGCGCTTTTAGAGTGTCTCTAAAAAGGAACAACAATTGTTTGATGGTTTACAACCTCAGTTCATTTATATCCCACAACCCTTTCTCTTTTGTGGCTCCCAAAACATAGATTTTGAAAAAATGTTTCTACTGAAATATCCAATAAATTACAGCATTAAATAAATTATCAATTTGAAACAAAGAAGTAATGAATGATACAGTTTGAGTCTTTTAAGCAGCAAACCCACCTAATGCAAAAATTTTTTGCTCCCATGCCATCCTGATGAACCCGTGGGCTCCAAAAAAATGCCATCTCCTTGCCAGGGCTGGACAGATGTCCACACTTCGACTCTTTCTCCATTTTCTCCAGTTCTTCTAGAACAGAGATACAGTGGCTTCTGTAGGATGGATGAGGATAATCTATTGACCAATATACACATGCATTTATTATTTATTATCAAAATATGTATGAATTCTGTATCTAATGATACAGTACGAGGGTGTACAATACACACAACTTTAAAACACTTCCAGATAAATAAATGTACTTGTGTGATGATGATGGTGTAGTGTCTTGATCAGAACATATGGATCATGTAAAGTTGTAAAAGAGAGAAGGGAAAGGGGGAGAAGAGAAGGCTCAGATCTCTCTTATTGTACCACTGATGTATCACTTTTGTTCTTAATATATTTATATTTAAAGGACAAGTGGGGGCTGATGGCCCCAAGAAAGAGTAGAGAAAATGAAGTGATACAAAGTTAAGAGCAGTGTAGCCTGCTGTAATGGTTCAAATGGGAAGAAATGAATCAAAACAGTTAAAAACAATGGGAATGCTCCTGTTGGAATATATACCACATGACTGCAGAAATAAATGTACCGGTACAACAGAGGTATGGAAATAATCGGTATAACTGGGTTTCCTGTGGCGGGTTGTCTTAAGCCCTACAATTGTTTCAAAAATAAATCTTTAGGAGGAGTTGAATCCTTTTTTTTTGTTATTTAGAAAGTTGCTGAGGTACAAGAATTGAAAGCCCAGGGTTTTCAATTGCAAAACTGCAGGGTAAGGACAGACATCAGTCCAATCGCTGGACCTTTAGGGTAAACAAGCTCTGCCACCAGGTAATGGGAAGCACCTTTTCCTGATTCTGGAGTGTTCCCTGTTAAGGCTCTGATGGATATGAAGAAATAATGCTACCCATGGCTATTTGTCATGGTGGCCTATATATTATTTTTGGCATCAGAAGCAGCATTTCTCTACATACCAGCTGCTGAGAAAAATGAACCAGAGGTTGCTGTTGAACTTATATTCTGTCTGTGAGCTCCTCGTTGACATCCAGATGGCCACTGCAGGGACAGAATGCTGGACTAATCTAATCTAATCTAATCTAATCTAATCTAATCTAATCTAATCTAATCTAATCTAATCTAATCTAATCTAATCTAATCTAATCTAATCTAATCTAATCTAATCTAATCTAATCTAATCTAATCTAATCTAATCTAATCTAATCTAATCTAATCTAATCTAATCTAATCTAATCTAATCTAATCTAATCTAATCTAATCTAATCTAATCTAATCTAATCTAATCTAATCTAATCTAATCTAATCTAATCTAATCTAATCTAATCTAATCTAATCTAATCTAATCTAATCTAATCTAATCTAATCTAATCTAATCTAATCTAATCTAATCTAATCTAATCTAATCTAATCTAATCTAATCTAATCTAATCTAATCTAATCTAATCTAATCTAATCTAATCTAATCTAATCTAATCTAATCTAATCTAATCTAATCTAATCTAATCTAATCTAATCTAATCTAATCTAATCTAATCTAATCTAATCTAATCTAATCTAATCTAATCTAATCTAATCTAATCTAATCTAATCTAATCTAATCTAATCTAATCTAATCTAATCTAATCTAATCTAATCTAATCTAATCTAATCTAATCTAATCTAATCTAATCTAATCTAATCTAATCTAATCTAATCTAATCTAATCTAATCTAATCTAATCTAATCTAATCTAATCTAATCTAATCTAATCTAATCTAATCTAATCTAATCTAATCTAATCTAATCTAATCTAATCTAATCTAATCTAATCTAATCTAATCTAATCTAATCTAATCTAATCTAATCTAATCTAATCTAATCTAATCTAATCTAATCTAATCTAATCTAATCTAATCTAATCTAATCTAATCTAATCTAATCTAATCTAATCTAATCTAATCTAATCTAATCATTTTAGAACTGCAGAGCTGGAAAGAGCCCTATGGGTCATCAATTCCAGCCTCTCTCAAGGAGGTACAGTGGAGCAGTGGTTCTTAACCTTTGTTACTCTAATGTTTTTGAACTGCAACTCCCAGAAACCCCAGCCAGCACAGTTGGTGGTGAAGGCTTCTGGGAGTTGCAGTCCAAAAACACCTGAGTAACCCAAGGTTAAGAACCAGTGCAGTGGGGAATCAGACTCGCCGTTTCTGGATCTGCAGACAGATGTCTAAATCACTGAGCTATCCAGCAAATAAACCTTCACTCTTGTCCTGACTCTTTTTATATTGATAAAGGGATGGTGCATCAGAGTGCTCCAATGGTTTCTTTTAAAGTTTCTTCATGTAGTAACTATGAGGGAAAAAATGTAAAAAGTACAGTACTGCATTCATAAGAATAAGACTTTTTTTTTTTTTGCTGTTACAGCATTCACCCTGTAGGGGTGTTATGTCTTTTTATTGTAATTCCATTTATTTTTATTTTGCCACAGCATAAATGGAAGGCCTGTTAACAAGAAAAGTTCATTAACTCTAGGCAACATTTGAGGAAGGGCGGTCTTTATACATGTTTCAGAATATGCACAATTAATTATTTAGTCAGACTTCTAGTATTTTCCAATTCCCTATTATATTGCTTATGCAGTACAGTGGGGTCTCTACTTAAGAACGTCCCTACTTAAGAACAATCCAACTTAAGCAAGGAGGTACAGTGGGGAATCAGACTCCCCGTTTCTGGCTCTGCAGACAGATGTCTAAATCACTGAGCTATCCAGCAAATAAACCTTCACTCTTGTCCTGACTCTTTTTATATTGATAAAGGGATGGTGCATCAGAGTGCTCCAATGGTTTCTTTTAAAGTTTCTTCATGTAGTAACTATGAGGGAAAAAATGTAAAAAGTACAGTACTGCATTCATAAGAATAAGACTTTTTTTTTTTGCTGTTACAACATTCACCCTGTAGGGGTGAATTCCATTTATTTTATTTGTAATTCCATTTATTTGTAATTCCATTTATTTTTATTTTGCCACAGCATAAATGGAAGGCCTGTTAACAAGGAAAGTTCATTATTAACTCTAGGCAACATTTGGGGAAGGGCTGTCTTTCTACATGTTTCAAAATATGCACAATTAATTATTTAGTCAGACTTCTAATATTTTCCAATTCCGTATTATATTGTTTATGCAGTATGCCAAGATAAATAAAGGTTGTACATTTTTAAAAAAATAAGGTTCTGTGCCTGAGCAATCAGCCTTGTTTTTACCAACCAATGATTGGTCACAAAACATGAACTGATTTGCAAAAAGTAAAGGGGAAAATCTCATGCTAGGTTAAAGCACCAGTGGTTGGGAGTTCAATTCCTCACTGTGCCTCTCAGGAGAAGATCCAGCCTGTGCAGCCTTGGGCAAGCTGTACAGTTCTAGACCACCCCCACCCCCACCCAGAAGAAGAGAATGGCAAACCACTTCTGAGTACAGGTATTTTATACCTAGAAAACCCTGCGTTCAGTCGTCATAAGTAAAAACAGACTTGATGGCATGTAATTTTTATTTTTTACCTTATAAGGGAATTCTGCTTCTAATAACATGCAAGTGTCTGCAAAAACATTTTTGAAGAGAAGGAAACTGCACAGTAGAATTTTTTTAGCATATTTCATGCCCATAATACATAATATTACAACACAGTGGACAAAATCCTTTTACATAAGCATAGTTATTTTGATGTAACAGAAACAGGGCAATGTTCAGAGGCAAATTGCCTCAGGCTGGGAAATTGCTGTTGAAATTATTTGATGTGTACTGAATTTTATGACTAAAGAGGGGACAGATGAAGTCTATGGTAACTTCTTAACTTCAAGTTGGATGATTTGCTTTACAACCACATAATGGTTCAAGAGGCTTTTCGTCATTTTGTCTGTGCACATTAAAATAATGAGTAAATGTAATATTCCAGGGTGAGAACACCTACCCTTACTTACCTCTATGGATACCTGTGATGACACGTTAATTGCATCATCTAGTTTGAGCATGAGGTTTTACTTTTTCAACATAAGTCTCCTTTTGCTTCTCTGGAATAAGAACTTTCCTTCAGAATGATATGTTTCTAGATTTACCCCCATAGCTATCATTTTCAAATATAATACAAACTAATATGCTGATATTTTTGCTTTATGCAGTACTGAGCTAGTGGACAAATCAATTGTGCATGCAATTGAATCAGCTGTTATTGAATGGACTCACCAGATTCAGTGTGTTCTGAAGAAAGAATCATCAGAGCCTCTTTTGCAAGGTCAAAATCCTTATCCAAAGGTGGAATTGGATTTTTGGAAAAACAGGTATATTGAGCCATTGGTATTGACGGCAGTGGGGGCACTTAGTTGTTTTGCAGACTTTTGATTTTCTGGTAACATTCTTTTTACAACACAGTAGAAGTACAGAGACTTACAGAGGAGAATAGCTAGTTACAGTTGTTTGAAAGTACAAACTTGTGTATGCTGTTTTCTTCACTGCACATATACTTAGCAACCAGCCAAACAACCAGATCAACAGTAAACAAACAACAGTCACCAACAAACTAAAGAGAGGGAAAGAAGGCTTAGTAGAGAGGTGGGGCTCTCTTCGAATTCCAAGGCTGGAGAGAACAATTGGTTAGTGCTGGATAAATAGACAATCACCCCAGCCCAGAAAAGTCCCTTCCAGTTACACAAAGTACAGGCAGCATGTAAGGTTGTAAATAAAACTCCAATGAGTTGTATACCTATTAATCTTCTGTCTGGCACAAGAAATTACTTCTCCCTCCCTCGCACTTTTTCTTTTCCCCAAAAACAATGTGAGTATTTCTTGCCTCTTCAAATGTGGTTGCTCATGGATGAGAACAGTTTTGAACTACAGGTGTGTGGATGAGAGTCTTGGGCTACAGCTCTTGGAATACTCCAGGCAGGTAGGTGGAATAATTTAGAGGTGCTAGAAATATGCACATGGTTTTGGAAGTTTTTCCTTGAGAAAGCAGGAAAAAGAAAAACATTTTTGAGTAATGCATTGGAGCTGCTGCTTTTTTGTTTTCGCTCCAGCTTTGTAACTGATACAGCAATCCCTTTCCATGTGAATTGAATAATTCTTACCCATTTGTGATTGGGTTCTTTGACTAGTGTAGGCGGGCCCGGGGTTTCGGCGGGAATGGCAGAAGGCGTAGACGTTACTGTCCCAAACAACTTAGTTTTATTACAATTAACATTGGGTAACTAGACCAAACGGGTCTAACAATTCGGCTTCTGATAACAAGTTGTATTTCTTTGGTTTCACAACGTCAACCGGTTTCTCAATTCTTATATTCTCTTCACCCCAGGGGGGAAGGTTGGCATCATATTCTGTATTGGAGCGCTCAACACCGCGCAGGTGGTCCCGCAACATGGGTGTTTCACAACCGAACCCTCCAATCTGGGCAGATAAGGGTTGGCCCCACATGGGATCTCGCTGACTTCTGACACTCGAATAATCGAACCCACTTCCCGACTCCATCCCTCCTTCAGCTCACCCTGATTCCTTTTTCTCAGTTCCGGTGGCATGGGCAACAGTCCATCCTCTTTCATCAGATTAGGGAAGTCCTTTACCAGTTTGGCAATTCTTTCTCTTTCTTCCCCTGTCTCATCTGTCTGCACGCTTTTCTCTTCCCATGAAGACTCTCTCCTCTCCTTTCTCCCCTCCTCTTTTATATCCGCCCATCTCCAGTCATCTAGCTCCTCCCCCCAATCCTTTGATCTACTCTCAGCCAGAAACACTTCCACAGCTTTAGTGTTTCCGGCCCCTTCATCATCTAACTTAATTAACTCTCCCACTACACAGCCTTCATTCTCTTCCACAGGATGTTCTACTGAGGACGGCACACTTCGGATCTTCTGCTCACACCATTTGAACATTTTCCGGCCAATCATACAAACTACATTACATGTGTGTTTATTCAGACATAAGCCTGATGGAACAGCTTTGTGGGCTGCAGACTAGAGTTCATTTCTAAGCCTGAATCTAAGAGTTAGTTGGAAAGTCTTTTGCTGCAGCAGTGAGAATCTTGTCTGGTTATTTTGCACAGAATGCAAAATACTCACAGCTTCATCTTGTGTTTGTTTTAGATGTGAGGACCTACAATGCATCTACAGACAGCTGAAGGCCAAGAAGGTTTTGACTATGATGGAACTTCTGGAGAGAGTGCAGAGCACCTACTTTCCAGCTTTCCAATCAGTGTTCAGAGATGTAGAAGCTGGTAAATTTTTGAAAAATCAAGTTGAAGTATTTATGTGTCAGTCACTGTAATGTCTCCATGGAATTCTTGAGTTCTGTTGTTCTTTATTGTTTACTGAAGAATTTTTAATTTTTTCCCAATTGGAAAAAAATATGGCTGTGGTCTGCAGGGATCTGATTTATAGAAAAATTAATCAAGTGGATCTTTGGACCTACCTGTGATATGTTAGTTATTTTTAAAAGTTACACTGCATGCTTTAGACTAAGTGTGATATTCCTACATGGATAAGAAAAGAATGGTGCAATAAAGATACAAGGAGCTTTTTGAACGTCTTTAAAACCTCTCATTGGGAAACTGGACCATAGTTAGTTCCATTTTGATACTGTATTCTTTATTTCCTCTTTTCTTCATCATCACTTCTAAAAAGAAATCCCAGATGCATAATAATAGATTTGATGTAATTACCCTGTGACGTGTAACTGAAAACCCAAAGTAATTCAAAATGTGCATACCTGGAAATAAGTTCTATTGCATCAAATGGTGTTTCTACTGCTGTGTGTTAAGTGTGACCCTACAGGCTCTTGCATCTCTTGTATGAAACTCTTTTCTTTGTGCTTAAACATCTCAGCTCTGGTTGAGGCACAGGATATAGATATGCATCTGAAGCCCCTCCAGCACCCTCTAGAAGAAATAGAGAATGTGGAATTTAATGAAGTGAAACCGTTGCTAAACCACTTGCTTCATATAGTGTGCTTTATCTGGGCCACATCCAAATATTACAGCACACCTGCACGGATAATTGTGCTGCTTCAGGAAGTCTGTAGTCTCCTTATCAAGCAGGTAGGTCACATAGTATTTCAAACCTTTACCTGTAGCGAGCACGCTGAAGCCTCTACTAACTCAGGCCTCTAGGACTGCTCACTCTTCTTCTTCAGTTGCTGCCACCAAATTTTATTCAATATTTAAAAAAAGACAAGTGTTGCGTCAAAACAAAAACTTGTTTATTGGTTTAACAAAATAAAGTAAATCACAAGATGTTAATCAAGGTCTCTCACTCACTGACACACACAGACTCTTCCCTCACTGACTATTCGGCTCACAGGCCCATAGACACACTCATCACTCACACTCCCAAAATCTCCCCCTCTTTCCATCATACACCCCTTTATATATTCCAGCTCCTCTCCCTTCTGCACCACCTTCCGTCCCCTCATTGGCTGATGTTCCACTGCCCAGCTGTGACGGGCAGGTGAGGGCAGGGCTGAATGCTACATTACCCTACAACCTTTCTGGAAAGTGGAGAAAGTAATCTACAGATGCCCTAGTTGATCACTGTATATCGCATCTTGCAAGAAGCTGGGGCTTTTGATGGGAAACATCATCTTAGAGACAGCTATATCAGGAGCCAGAGGTTGGGAGTTTGATTCCGCATTATGCCTCTTGAGAGTAGATCCAGGCTATGTAGCCTTGAGCAAGCTGCAATGTCCCAGAGTGCCACCAGAAAAAGGGGATGGCAAACCACTTCTGAGTATTATTTACCTGGAAAACCTGAAAAGAGTCACCATAAGTCAGAATTGACTTGATGACACATTATTATTGTTGATAATTTTGGTTAAATATGTGTTCTCAGGACATAGGCAAAGTTAGGAGATATCAGGTTGCATAGACACTATAACACTGAGAGAGTAAAATACCAAGTTAGTCTATTAACATACAGTGGTGCCCCGCATAGCGAGGTTAATCTGTTCAGGATTAACCCTCGCTATGTGAAAACATCGCTGAACGGAATGGGGAAAGTTCCAATAGGCTCCAAACCTCACCATTCAGCGAAGTTTTCCTATGGCCGGCAGCCATTTTTGCGCCCTCCCCTCGCTTACTGAGGGCGCGAAAACGCTGCGCGCGGCTATTTCAGGGCTTCCGGCGGCCATTTTGGAGCCACCGAACAGCTGATCCGTGGGGCGCAAAGCGAAAGTTGGTAAGTGAACCGCTTACCAATCATCGCAAAGTGATTTTCGGCCATAGGGGCCATCGGTATGCGATTGCATTTGCGATCGCTAAAACCCCCTCGCTATGCGGATTCGTCGTTCTACAGTGCGCTCGTTAAGCAAGGCACCACTGTATACAGAAAGAATAGACATTCAGCCGGCATCGTAACATAACATGATACAATACATAGCATAGAAAAAAGTGATCTGACTTAACAGCAGATTAAATGTCCCCTTTACACATGAGTTATATACATTCTTGGGACCAATCAGAAAATACATTACTTCATTTTCTACGTACTTACGTAAGGTTACATAATGTACAACAGCTGTACAACATCAAGTCTTAAACCTTAATACCCACACCTGAATACATTCAGTACATGACTCAGGTAAAATCAGCCATTTTACTTTCAACATCTTACGATACAACATTTATATTTAATACATTTTGAGATCAAAATCTCAACAATTATTATATCGGGTTTGACAGCCTCTATCAACCTGCGGCCCTAGATATACTGCACTAAAACTTCCTACTGTACTACAACTTCCATAATCCTCCAGTCACCTACCCTGTTTTCCTGAAAATAAGACCTAACCTGAAAATAAGTCCTAGTAGGATTTTTCAGGATGCTCATAATATAAGCCTTGTCCCCCAAAATAAGCCCTATTTAAGTGAAACCCCGCCCTCCACTCTTGTGCAGCAACCAGAAGATGACATGATTGTATTTGAATAGATGTAGATTGACATCCCCTGAAAATAATCCCTAATGCATTTTTGAAGCAAAAATTAATATAAGACCCTGTCTTATTTTTGGGGAAACATGGTAAGAGTTGGAGCTGAACACACTTGAAGGCCCTGAGAGGATGAGATATAGTCACAATGCTGATAGTTTCATCCTATGGAATCCCTGCAGATTTTAGCCCTCTTTAATTATTGTGTAATCTGGAATAATCAACATGGTTGCAAAGCAACAATCGTTCCCTTGTTGCTTTGTTCACATAAACAGCAACGAGTCTGAAGAAGAGAAGTTCCTTCTCATATGTAAGCTCTACATGTGAGCAAAAACTTTGGAAGATGAGGGTTCTTGGTCACATGTGGTGCCTACGAACAGTAAAAGGGATCCTTATCCTCTTCAAGACATGTCACTGCTTGCATGATCAAGGTGGTGAGAGAGGGGTCAGGCTTAGGTTCCCTCCTGTAACAACATTGATGATTCCAGGATGATTGAATAGAGCTACAGTCACATCAGGGATAATGTTTACAAGTGGGGGGGAAACAGACCAGCACATTAGAGAACCTGGACTGGCTGGATTTTTCTCCTCCATTTAACAACATGTAGAGGTGTTGCCTCAGAAAGGAAATGGAGTATATGAGGCCTTGTGAAGGTGGAGAACAAGAGTTTGGGTCTATAAATTACAGCGATCTCTTCAGCCTCAGGTTTTGCTTATTCTCAGCTGCTGTCTGAACCTTTCACTAATGCTGTTTTGGTGCAGCGGGAATTAGGAGAAAGAAAATAAATAACAGTCTGTGTGACCTTGAAGAATCTCATGTCAACACCATTGCACATGAATGGAAGTGTGAAATGGGTCTGTTTAAAGATCATGCAAAGAGATACCTTGTTTCTCTGTGAATCTCAACAAGTTCTGGAGGCCTTAGTATAGAATACTGTATTGTGTTTTCCTTAGATGGCAATCCCATCACCAAAACTTCCTCTGATTCCTCAATGAGCAAAGCAACGTTTTGGTAACAGTTGTGCAAGAACTGTGATCTGTCTGGAACACCATTCATAACCTGTTTGTTCCTGTGTTTTTATTCTACCCTTTCTTCAAGGAACGCAGAATAGATAATGTACCCTGTGAGGCTAGGTTAGGGTCATATACGTAAAAGACTTTTTCTGAGGTCACTGAAGGAACTTTGTAGTGGAGCTGGGATTTGAGCCCATAGTTTCGAGGTTAAAATCACAACTCTCCAGCCACTGTGTTTGTGGTTGGTTGAATTTGACAAAGTTTCCTTGTCTCAATTCTCTGATTCCAAGCTCTTTTTTCTTTTCTCACATTGAGTGGGTTGTCCATTTGTCTATTTCTTCTCTTACCAAAATGCACATCTCACCAAAAACACACAGTTTTATTTTGTCTTCCTCCTCTGCCCAACTAGGCCAGAAATTACCTCAATGCAGAAGATCTGCTTAAAGGGGAAACAGAAGAAAGTCTGAGCAAAGTACAGAAAACGTTTGATATTTTCAACTACTTCAAGAAGACTTTTGAAGAAAGAAGAGAGAATCTTAGTACTTATTTTCAGCCAGGTCAAGAAACAAAAGAGTGGGATTTTCCCTCCATAATGGTTTTTGCACAACTGGATAGTTTTCTAGAAAGGCTTAATGTTATAGATGTAACCATTCAGATATGAAATATGACAAATAATAATCTTTGCAGACAACACTATATTTATATTCTAGACAATATGTGTTAAAATCAATGTAGTGTACAGCAGAATATTAGACACTAGTCCATAGATTTTAAATAGATGCCTTCCTTTAGAACTGTAATCTAGACTGCCTTGTCCAAGTGGATGTACTTTAATGCTAAACTAGATATGTCTTCTTGCAAAAAATGAGAAACCAAAACTCTGTAACAGAGTGGAATGTGTCATTTCTGCTGGTGCAATTCTACAAGTGTGCTGTATAGACTGATAAGAGTTAGCACAATTGTATGTGATTCACAGAAATGTGATACACTGTATAACTGCAGCTGGAGGGATACTGGTGAAAAAGTGCAGTCTTGACAAGTGGAGCAGTTTGGCGTATTCTCGCTCTGTTTTGTTTTGCAAAGGCCAAGGAAAGAATCCCTACTCTAGATTTCCTCAGTTTATAAAATTCTTTGTATACGTTTTCAACAGTAATTGATTTTTCTGTTGCCAAGTTTTTTTCTTAGCTTGGTTGTAGCCACCACGGCATTGGATTTGACAAGTGAGTTCATATTGAGTCAGTTTTTGGATCACTTCAAGAAGAAATATCTCTGTTGTTACGTTTGTGCCAAAATCTAAAGGCGGCAGAAACTTATCAAAAGATGCTGGCACATTCACCAGTTCACCTGAAAAATAGCTTCAATTAGCACTTCTTGGTTTCCCTCTCAAAACACAAATTTTCAGTTGAATGCTAAGTAGTATTGATTGGAGCTTGCTGCCTTTTTATACACCTCTTTAATTAACCTTGAAAAAAAAATGCAGCAATTAGCAATGCTCTTTTAAAGCCACATTGTTATTTTCCAAAAAGTGCTGTTAGGAAGTGAACTAAATTGCTGCATCCTATGCAGTAACTGATCTAATAAGAGGAATGCAAACAGTGATGTCAGATACAGTTATGTAATGGGCCTTGCATAAAATGCATTGTGATAGTCTAGCCTGCGTATTACAAGGGCGTAGAGAACTGTGGCTGAATAGTCTCTCTTCAAGCGTTGCACCTGACATGCTAGTTTCATTAGAATTCCATTTCGGGCTCTCTGACACACTTGGATGAATAGGCATTCCCTTATAGGTGTGTAACCCTATCTTGAATAGGCTGAATAATACACACTTTCAATGTACAGTCTCTTCATCTTGTTTAGATAGCATTTAGTTCTTTGACTCTCACTATTGATCCCAGACAGCGTTCTGGCCCACCTGTCCTTCACATTGTTTGCAAGCTTATTCATGTTGCTAGAAAGTACTATTAGCCTTTCAAGGAAGTAAAAGATGGTAGGAATGGGGGAAAGGTTAGTTTTCGCTCTGAACAAACACCACAGTGATTTCAGTAGCATAGGGCAGAGGCCATTAGAGAGGGAGGGAGATGCAAAAATAGACAAATATTGGCCAAATGTTGCCCATGAAGACCATAGCATAGCAACCACTAAGACTAAATCAAAGCATTTCCTTGAAACTCCGTATGCTGCTGGGTCAATAGTACTGTAAGATTTTGAAAGGTGCAGATAATTAGTAGAGCTGAACCCTGCTTTCATTCATCAGAGTTATCAATGCTATCTGCATGCCAAAACCAGGCCTGAAAAGAAAGTGAAATCAAATCAGATTATCAGTCTTGGGCAAACTGTTCTGGAGTTACATAGCCATGATCCATCTTGCCCAAGAAGAGTAAATTTTTTCAGGCCATGGAGTTTCCTTAGGGTGGTTTTCAAAGTGGCCAAGAATAATTTTTTTCTAGGAAGAGGACATTGTCAACTTGCACTAACCAGCCAGTATACTCAATGTGGTAGAGTGAATAGACTGACAGACTAGGGCTCAGGAGGCTTGGATTCAAATCCCCACTCAGCCATGGAAACTCAGTAGGGGAATATGTAGAACTGGTAAAACCAGGCTTTAAATATCTCACTTATCTTAAAAGCTCCATTAAGGTTGCTAAAATTGGTTCTGACTTGATGGCACACACTGTAAGAAACAAACAATCCAACCAGTTAATTCATGCATATGTAGAAAGCCAAACAGAAATCCTTAATTTTACAGCTACCAATATGTGTAAGCATTTCTTCACAGAACTGAAAATCCCGCAGAGTGTGCACAGGTGATGTGTTACAGATATGCTAACACAAAACACATATGATGGAAGTAGAATAATGGTTGCAGAACCTGAACCCAAGAGGAAAAGGGGAAGACCCAATATGAGATGTATAGAAGAAAGACACAGCCTTGAGTTTGCAAGAGCTGGGGAAGGTTGTTAACTACAGGATCTATTGACTTGGTGGGACATAAGGGCAAGTGCAATTTGTTCAGTTATTCCTTTGATACTATGTTAAAAGGTTTTTTTTGTTTTGTTTTTCAGTTGGGTATTTTCTTGCTTTCTATGTGAAATAAGAGCCTATGGAACTAAATTGCAGAGTGGTGTGAAGTGTAGTTAATAGAAAAAAGAAAAAGTTTTGGAAAATTTCTGTCCCATATTCTCATTTTTGTGTATTGGGTTCATTGTGGTTCAGATCTTCACTGTTCTGAATGTAGAACTAGGGGCCACAGTTTTGATCTAAAATGAGTGAATCAGTAAATCGGAAACAGATAAGGTCATGCCCATGCTTTGCAGCTTCTGTTACAATATTTTAAAAAACCTCCCTTTTGTGGGAGGGATTACAAAGTTAGGAAAGGCAATTAACATGATGTAGCTGGAGTTGACAGAAAAACCTGAAAAAGAAAAAAAAAGATTATAGCTCTATGTACTGTGATTAAAATAAGAACTCACAGACAGACAGACAGACAGACAGACAGACAGACAGCTCGTAGACAGACGGACGGACGGACGGACGGACAGACGGATAGATAGATAGATAGATAGATAGATAGATAGATAGATAGATAGATAGATAGATAGATAGATAGATAGATAGATAGATAGATAGATAGTATATGAAGAAAGGAAAGGCCATTCCTAGTCCAACTGTTGGGAAACAGTTACCTAAACTTTGGATATGAACTCTGTGTTATGCACCTGAAAAAGTGGACTAGAGGTCATGAATGCTCTGGCAAATAAATCTTTGTCAAGGCATAACAAAACTTTTGAGGATTTCTCCATCTCTAACGGACTGATACTGTTGGTTTCACTTTTGGAAATAACTGTGAGTTGCTGCTCTCTCTAGGATCTTCTGATGACCTCTTTGGACATAGAGAAGCTGGAAAAATTGGAATTTGGTGGCTTACAAGGGAAATCTCTGAGTCAGCAGGTTCTGAGCATGCATGAAGAATTCCAAGAGATATATAAATTATTTTCAGATCGTACATACGATTGCCTGGATGTAGCCAACATGGTAGGTGTCTCAAGACTCCAGGAGACCTAGTCCCATGTTCACAATACATGTTTCTGTTAATATGGAATTTTAGAATCTTAACACTGAGGGGGGTCTGGTGCTCAGACAAAGTTGTTTCAAAGACCTGCTGAATTAGCGCTATGACACTGATTTACATGGTTGTTCCCTTGGTTCTTTTAGGAGTTTGAAGAAGATGTGTATAACTTTAAGGGGAAAATAGAAGATATGGATCGAAGGCTGGGGGCCATATTTATCCAGGCTTTTGATGATGCAGCTAGTGTGGAACATGCATTTAAGGTTTGTTGTGCTACAACTGTACATTGTGTACCAAATGTATCATACTTATCTTTACATACAGTTTTTCTCTTTTAGAAATGATCTGAAAAGTGCCTGTTTATTTGTGCTTCAGCAGAATGTAATGAAGTATTAAGGATCAAATTAAAACTAGATACTTTGTTCACCTTTAAAAGTTCATAGCATGTTTCTCCCCAAGTTCCTTGGATCTGGTATTTTATCTTTGTCACAAAACAAATCAAGCTATTTTGTAAGATGCAACACTGAGAAAAGCTCTTGTTACGAAAAACAGATTGTCTTTTACTATTGGGAGTGAGCTCTGCTTTAATATGTGAGCTGAGCATTTTGTCTAGTTTGACCCTTACAGAGTTGTGTATCATATGACTGAACTTTTGAGTTGGACGTAGGCTTTCATGGCTATATTCTGCATAAGATCAAATTTCAGTGCAGGGTTTAGAGACGAGTTACTACCAAAATGAACCAAAACCAGTAAACAAACAAAGCCCAATCCTATGAAAAATGCATCTGATGAAAGAAATTGTGTGGATTTCCTGTATAAGCATTGTCCATAAGTTATGGCTTTTGAAGATGTTTACAGCTGATGATTGATACATTACATGGACCTTGATATATGATGTCCTACTATATCTATAATCAGCATGAATTTCATGCAGCTGATCTATATGTTCTTGTAACTTATGCTGGGGGATTTATAACATGACAAGTGTCCCCTTCACAGTCTTTAGTAAAATAGGAAAATCCACATTTAGATTTTGTCCTTGTGGAACCGGGTGTCCTGAAAGGAGGAGAACTTGTCAAAAATCTACCAGGAAATGTTAGCCCAGGAGACTGGGCACAAAGGTGGCTGTTTTCTCTCCAGAGCTGCTTCTCAAAGAAAGAGAGATTTGATTTGAGGTTCTGACACTACATTTTTGACTATCTTGTCTTAGAAATTATGGTTAAATGGAGTATTGTGCTAGTTTTAGCTGATGAAGAAAATTCCACATAGCTTGAAACTTCAGATTTCTACATTGCAGTGAATACCATTTTTCTTCTTGCATTCATGTTATTTCACCAGCAAAGGCACTAAAAGACATGATTAGTTACTGAGTATAAGGGCTGGGGGTGGAATAGTTTGAAAAAGAAGAACAATGATCTAAATATATAGTTGGGAAAAGGAAGTAAGTTTTTACAATAATTTATCAAAGGATACATTCACTGCCAACAATACTAGACATCCTACCTCTTGTCCCTAAATATGGGGAAGTTAGTGTGATGCTGTCTTTTTAAAAAAAGCCCTAGAACAATAGTATTTATTGAACGAAATTCTGTTCGCTGCTGCTTAACATAAAATTACACCAGTGTAATTGTGCTGGGCATTACACCTGATAACAAGAAATTACACAATTCAACCAATTGTATAATGCACTAGCCAAAGTGCTTCATGAATAGCACTTATACTTTGATGCTGTCATAATGATAATAAATGCAACATTGAGTGCACCCATATGCAACAGGGATTTGCCCATTGAGTTGTTGACTGTTACAACCCAAGTGTTTCTAAATTAATTGCATAAATTTCTCAATAGGTATAATAGAAGGAAGTATGTCATTAATGTTCCTATTTCTTTTTGTGTGACAGCTGATAGATATATTTGGGAGTCTCTTGGAACGGCCATTGATAGCAGCAGATGCGTGTGCTAAATATCATCTTCTCATTACAATGTTTGATAAAGACCTGGATGATGCTAAACTGATCTATCTGAAACATATACAGGATGAAGTGGAACTAGGTACATGTTTGTAATAATTACCATTAGGTGTTATCAATTTGAATCTGACTCATAAAATTCTTGGAAATTGTTCACTAATCCCTTCTTTTGCGGGTGCGCTGGAATCAAGCTTGCCCAAGGCCTCATAGGCTGGCTTTTCTTTTGGGACGCACCTTGAGGAATGAAACTTCTACCCTGTTTCCCGAAAAATGAGACCTAATCTGAAAATAAGCCCTAGTATGATTTTTCAGGAT